GTAACTTTATGTGCTGTAGAACTCACATCTGCTCAAAGCTTCATCTGCAAGTTGGCATGTCCTGTAGCCACCTTGCAGATTTTATAGCATGTTCTGGATTGATTATATAGAGGTTCCCCATGCCAGTGGCCAACGGAGTGACGTGGCGATACTCTATATGATGGCACTGGCATACACATTTTACAAGTGTTACCCACAGCCCTTTCCACCCTATGAAAAAGCACATTTAATCCTGTGTAGATTCCAAAACAATCCACAGCCTCAAAGGTACTGTTGGCTATAACAAAGTGCCAGCATTTTGCACTAAGGATTTGTAAAAGCCAAGGCCCAAAGTATGCAGCTGGAAACACAGAATGCCACAACATTGCCTAAATATTTGTTTTTGTTGACCTTAAAGCTGTTGCCCAGCTGAGGAAAGTGTTCCAGTTCCCCAGTTCAACAACATTGTTAATAAGGCCAACAAAAATTCCACAAAAGTTTGAAGCGTTCAAGTTCTCCAAAATTCTTCCTTAGGCCTAGTGAGTGCGGAAATACACAGAAAAGCTCATCAATATGGCATGAAGTCTGCAGTGCAGACAGACCCAGTCGCAAAACTGAGATTGCAGACTGATAGCATTTTGGGAGAAAGCAACAGTGATGGGTCATCTTCATTTCTAAAAACACGGAAGTCCAGTTGTAACTCTGCCCTGCCCTTTGCCTTGAGCAAAGCATACCAATTCCCGAGTTGTAATAGTACAGAAGTGTAGAGATATCTGACAGTCCTTATATTAGCAAACTCAGATGTTAATTTTAGTCAATCCATTAACTAGAAAATAAACTGTGGCCAAATTATGTTACCTACCAGTTGGAAGGAATGGAACACTCAGTTCAAAGTCCTTCTTCAGGTGGTGAAAACCTTTCTCTGGCAGAGTCCATCCCAAATGGCCAAATGCTGAATTTTCCAACACGCATTAAAAAAAATAAAGCAAAGCAAAGGTAGCTGCACTGGCCACTCACACAGGACAGCATGGCTATTTGAAGTCTTGTGTTAACAATCCAAAAAAACAAGTCGTATTTCTGAGTAAGGATGCATGGGATTAGGTGTCAAATTTTCTAGCAGTTTTTGTCTTCCTCATGACATGGCTGCAAGCAAGAATACCTGCCTTGCTCCTCCTCTCTTATGTGGGACTCAAGGACACACATCCGTAATAGAACATCTGTAATCAGACACCATGCTAAATCATAGTTTACTGTGCCATCCAAGCAAATCAGAGCGAGCTTGTGCACTTCACCCTTCTACCTTCTGCTCCAGAGCAGATATGAATGTGAAGGTTCATTTGAACCTTGAATTCAGGTTGTTAACTATGGGTGCTTTAACCCATCGTTTTAAATTGGCGTGTCTCAAACAATAGTTAAGATTAACCAGTTTTCCACTTTTGGCTGACATGATAAGCTGTAGATACTCTAAACTGCTTCCAAAGCTTCCAAATTCCTCACAGTAGTAATGGAGCAGGACCACTGCAGCTTGGTCTCATCGTGATAAATTATGATTTACTTTTGCATGATGTCTAAACAGAGCCAATAAAGGATGGAGACAGGCCAGGAGTGGAAATTTTTCAACAAGGGAGGGGAAAAATACAACCAAAACCATCAAAGCTAAAAGGAGCATGGATCCAGCTGGAAGGCAGCGACCTCCAAAATTTTATCAACAATGATACACTTCATTGTACTCCCCTCAGTTACATATGCATGAAGGACTAGAAACTTTTTATGGAAGTTGAGCAGAAATACATGCTGTCATCAAAAGAAGGGGTGCTATTATGGAGGATATATTTTCATGTAATTTGATGTAATGGCATTAAATAGCATCATGTGCCTCTTTTTATCACACTGCATGTTCATTGTATTTTATTAGCTGCATATTAATTGTATTTCACATTTCATCTTCCTGAATGGTCCTATATAAAAATGGAAAAACAAATAGTCAATACCTAGCCTTGATTCCCCCGAGTGTCAACCAAAGATAAATTTTTATTTATTTTTATTTATTTTTCGATTTATATCCTGCCTTTTCTCCTACAAAGGGCTCAAGGCAGCTTACATCTCCTCCTCCATCTTATCCCCACAACAATAACCCTGTGAGGTAGGTTGGGCTGAGAGTCTGTGACTGGCCCAAAGTCACCCAGGTGGCTCCATAGCTGAGCGGGGATTCGAACCCAGATCGGCTGAGTCCCAGTCCCATGCTCTTAACCACTACACCACACTGGCTCTCAATAAATAAATAGCATCAGTAGTATTTGATTCTGAAAATATGTTAATATATCAATATTTATTGTTATTCTCATTCTGGTGTGGTATCAGGCCAGCTAGGTGACAACTAGGTGAAAGGGGTCCTTTCTGGGATGCGGACAGTAATGGAGGTGACAAAGAGGCAGTTGGGTGGATACTCTGAGAACCCTGCATGTGTGGGCCAAGTTGTGCTCCCTCCACAGAAGGGAGTGACAGACAGAGCTGAAGAACAAGAGGAGGATACTGGAAAGCATGGAGATGCCACCAGAGGGGTGTAGAGGGATGCAGCAGGGGGGGGAAAGGAAGCGTGAGAGGGCCAGTGAGTACGTTTAAATGAGCCATGTTGAAACTGCAGCACCTTCAGTGTGCAACACAGCAATGCAGGTAGATTTCAAAGATTTCAACACCATTCAAAGAGTTCTGAAGACCTGTAAAGCTCTTAAGGCACGAGCGGCCGACTGTGGGCAGTGAGGGGCCATGGTTTTCCAGGCGACCTATATATTAGCCCATAGCACTATGGAGCATCAGAAAGGCCAAAGCTACCGTTTAAATGGCTAAAAATTGAGGCAGGCAGCACAGGTGGTGTGCGGACCATGGTCTTCATGTTGCCCACCTGTCTTTCATGCTTTGTGCTTAAAACACCTAAGGGATGCCATCCTCCTCAGACAGGTCATTTCCCTTTACTATAACATTTATATGTACTAGAGCTTTTCAAAAGGCACAGTCTTATGTTGCTGTCATGAACTGTTACACAGAATATATAAGAACAAAAACCCACTAGGGGGTAGTAGAGCACTTCTATGAATACTTTTTCAGGCTTGAGTTTAACGGAACAAATTACACTTGGTAAAAGTCGATTAATGGCTATGCTAAGACCAAAGAGTGGACCTACCGTTGCTTCGTAAGAAAACCAAAATGTTGATTAGATAATGACAGTTTTACTGTGCAATTTGTTTCCTGACCATAATCACAGGGGTAAGTCCAAAAATTTGGGAAGTGGTATTTAGCTGTAATAATGGGATGCCACTCATTTCTAGAGCTGTGTTTATATCATGGGAATTCATTGGTCTGCAGCTTGGGATTGGAGATGCTTCCTCCAGGCTTATCTGGTGTCACCTTGTATTATATATGCACTTCAGTCTCTTTCAGTGCAGGAGACCTATTGCTTATGAAATAGTAGAAGGATCTAAGGATATTCATATATTTGTTTTTCGGCGCCAGGCTAAGACCTTTTTATTTAAGCAACATTTTAGATGCTAAATACAATTGAATTTTATCTGGCCAGGGCGGCTTATTTTATAATGTGTGTTTTAATTAAGATTATTTTATATGGATATTTTAACTTATTGTTTTATCTATGTTGTAAGCCGCCCCGAGGCTTCGGCGAATGGGGCGGCATAAAAATGTTTTAATAAATAAATAAAAATAAATATATTGCCAATGCTCCTCTACTGATGCTTACTCAGAAATGCAGCAACTGAAAAGGATGGATCAATGCCCTTCTCCACTGACAGAATTGTGTCCCTGCAGCCTTCTAACCCTTGACCACACTGCCTGACACCACTGAGCAAAAGGGTGAACCTCACTAGACAATTTTACCCACTGATTAGACATGCCTAAGCTCATATGAACATATAACTGCACCATGGCTTTCTGTACCACCCATAGCATACCAGAAGTTCAAAAAATACAACTGGATTTTTTTATTTTGTTAACGAGGTTTCTTCTCCCCATGGTGCTTCAGTCTCTCTGTGTGAATATTCCTCTATAAAATGATTTTCACAAGGCTTTTACTCTTACTATCTGGCCATTCGCACTGATTTTATAAATGGTCTGCATCCCCATTGGCTACGACATTGTTTATAAACTAAAGCAGCTCAGTGCATAACCACTGCCCTGAAATACCCACTTCACACACACGAAAAGTATAGACAAATGAACTGTAAATAATATCCCCTCACAGCTGTTGACATATCCTGCTCTGTAGTCCTTGAGACAGGGATGCTGTGAACTCCTTTTCAGATGAAGGGTCAAATTCCATTTCAAAGAAATTTTCAGAGCAAACATTCCAGTGGCTCATGGAACCAAAGACAAAAAAGGAGAGAGCCAAAAACACCAGCGTATTTTAGATTAAGCTCTTAGTGCCAATAACTAAGCCTTAGAGAGACATTGCAACCTTTTCAGAATGGGGAAGTAACTGCATCAACACCAAGAAACTATTGGGGGCTGTGCACAGAGGTTAGAACCACAGGAAGGGCCCAGAGACCTCTGGGGGATGCTGGAGGGCCAGCCTGGGGCCCCAAGTGGTCCAGATGTGGATCCCAGGCCTGAGGTTCTACAACCTTACCTTGAGGGAGCCTGAAACCTGGTTCACGAGAGCCTTGGTATACATCATTACAGAGTCGTTTCTGAACAGAAGAGCCCTTTCTGGCAGGTGAACACCACAAACATTTCAGGGCTCTTTTACCTTTGTGCTGGGGTTTGCCAGTGTGTTTCCATGCAGCCATGAAAGGGATTCAGGAATTCAAAGGTTCACAGTGTCTTGCCATTGCAAGTGGAGCAGGCATAGCCTGAAGGTGAAATTAACCTGGTTTGGGTCAGCTGTCGCATGGCTGAGAGACTGCCTAGGAGCCCTGTGTCCAGCACCATGAAGCTTCCAGGGAAGAGAGAGATGATAGTGTACCAGACAAGTAAGAAGGCACTGCTGACTTTGAAAATAGTTCTATGACAAGTGAGCATATAGACCACAAAGTGTCCATTTTATTTCTATATAAATAAAAGAGTTTGCACTGGACTGCACATTAAACTCATCTTGAGATATAAAAATAGATCATTGCAATTGTAGAACATTCAACACACACACACCACACACACATATAAAGACAAACTATACATAGCAAAAGTCAGATAGCTAAGACATACTCCAAACCAATATAAATATGTATGATTGGCTTGCTCATGTAACGGTCTAATAAGGAAGTCAAGAAATGAACCAAAACACTCACAAGACTGCCAAAACAGGCTTCCTCCACAACTTCTGTTTAAATATATTTAAGCATCTCTTTTGTCAGAATGTTCACAGCGAGTCCTTGATGTTTAATCAAAGTTGATTTGTGGGCTGTCAAAGCCACTATCTTGTTGAAAAGCTGTAACATCGCATATCTGTCTCCGTGAATGCAGTGGGTTGCAGCTTTTTCCTGCTGTTGAACACAACGCAGCACCACTCAGATGGACATCGCATGGACTGAATTTGTCCATGTGTGGGTATGGCAAATGACCAGGGCTCACAGACAGATGGCTTTCCTTGCAATTTAAGTCTTGGCACTTTGCAGCAAGTGTGTTGTCTTTGTGGCCACTGGGTTGTTGGCAAAACACAGATGCATCTTTCTTGGCGTGGGAGAAGAGAGTTGTCATGGGAGCCTGTTCATGGGATTCTTCTGGTACACTGGAATATACTTTTGGAACAGAGTACAAGAGCCTATCATTGCTGTCCACGTGTACCGCCCCACTCACCAGGCTCCAATCGGGAGAGCATCCTTCATCCCTTACTGGAGTTTCCTGAACGCGAAAGACGGGGGTTTTCTCAGATTGTACATTCTGGTGCCTAACAGACTGGGCACACTCAGGTTCTTCTACAGTGGTCCTGTCATTTACATTCTTCAACTTTACACAAGGTACCCCAGAGTTGGAAGCACCATCTGTACAACTCACTGTGTGAACGTCTTGGAACTTTGCTTGTGAAGCGAATGAGAGAGGATTCTGGAGGGTGGCGGCACTGATAGCATGAGGCAGACCTCTGCTTGCATTTTTACACTTCCTCCCATCAATCAGACTTCGGGGAGGGAGGGCTGCCTGGCTTTCAGCATCAAGCTGCTGTTGTAAGCTGCAAGGTACCCATTTTTGCATAGCTGGATTTTTGCTCATGCTTCCACCATGTGTTTGATTTCCCTCTATAGTTGATTTAGGTTGTTGCGAGTAGTTTCTTTCAAGTTCCTCAACCTCAGACAGCAGCTTGGAATGTTGTGACAGTGCTATACGATGGAACGGAAAGCAGAAATTTTGGAGGAATAAGAAAAATACATCTAAGTTTTCAGTATTCTTTGAAAAAGCTCAAATTTCTTCATATATGCAAAGCCCCACCTGAAGGTATAAGCTACCCAAGCACCAGAAAAGCAAACATTCATTACTAAAATGGGTGGCATATATGAAAACAGGGGATAGCCAGCCTTGATGTTACTGTACCTGCATGGGTGGCTTTGTTCTGGAATGAGCTACGAACAGGAGTTTCTAGAACTTTGGCCATTGTAGCAATTTTGCTAGCAGCACAGATTATTTTCTTCTCAGCCCTGCAGGAAAGCCAAGAAGAGTTTTTGAAAGTCTGTACCTTATACTAATCTGATTTACAACAGTAAGTTAAAGCTAAAGTTCTCTGGAAGTTAAAAGAACAGACTTTAAGTCCTTTAAAAAAAATCAGAACTCAAGATTTCTCTAAGTTCCTATTAATAAAAAAAGGATGAGATTTCAGGTATTAGAATAGCCCTCATGAACTCTGATCTTGCCCAGGTGCAGGCTAGATGAGCTGCTACTGCTTCCCTTTATCAATGGGATGAAAAGGAGTATTTCTCTTGCAGCAAGTGGGATTTGGACTTCTGAGCTCTGGCAAATTCCACTGGTGGCTTGGGCAACTGACTAGATACAGCATTTGGCCCTCCGCATTTCTGCAATGATATGTTGTAGTTGGAAGAGAAAGAAAAGCCACATAATTGATTGATAGCAAAGTCACTTAACCCACAAAGGCCTACTGAGTGAAAGGGATGTAGCAAAGCACTCTTATTTCAGTGAGAGCATGGAAGGGTCAATCAGTTTAGAAAGTGAAATGATTAATTTTATACTCTTTGGAGATATACTGTGACCATATATAAAAATTCTGTTTCACCAGTGGTCTGCTTGTGACCTGTATGTTTATGCAAGATTGAAATTCTCATGCTATGAAAAGGGAAACTGCAAGCTTGTGGCTGTGCTGGGAAATCAAGCGAGAACAGAAAAAAACAATAGACATTTCTTCTTTAAAAAGACCTCCAGATTCATAAGTTGGTCATCAAATACCCTTACAAATATCTCACCCTTCGTGTTTTCCATCATCAATAAGAAGTTGCTGAAGACAAATCAAGTAATATTTGCGCATTTTCCGGGCAGTCTCCTGACGTTCTCGTAATACTTCTGCTTTAATAATCTCTGCAGCTCTCTCTTTGCTTTCATGGATGTAACGAAGCATATCACCTACAAACAGTATGCTATACATGTATATTAAATGATGCACCTATATTCTAGAGACATATACAACTGGAGTTTCACAAGCAATTATTTGATAATTGAAAAATATGACCAAATTTTTAAAAATAGTAACAAAAAGCAATAGCAAGAGACAAGGAAACTGAGACCAGGGTATGGCCAATAAAATTTCTGGTAATCTTGGTTCAGTTCCTCTGTTATGAACATGCAAACAAATGAACTGGTTACTTAACAATATGGAATTTCTTTAGCACTTACTTTTAATTTTGCCCACTGCTTTAATATACTGCGATCGCATTTCTTCCAAGGCTTTTCCATCACATGAAGTGCAAGGTTTTAGCACACACCCTTCTGACAATGATCTAAAATCACACAAAAATATAATACTCAAACTGAGAATGCAGCTGAAACTGTCCAGAAATAATTTACTCTATTTTACTTAACTACCTTGGAGGAACAGTGGAAGCTTTCAAATCATCAAGTGTGTCTTTCATCGCAGGACTTTCTGTGATTCGTTTATCTACATTGTTTTCATTTTCTAAACAAAACAAAACAAAACTAAGTATTTAATTTGAGTATTTATAGAGGAACATATGCAGAATTTTTCTATGATCTTAGCTGGTCACCTTGCCACACCTAAAGTTTTCATTACAGACATTGTAATTCAACATGAATATTTTGTATTTGATGACAAGGTATACACAATCAACTTTATTCACAGCATTTAACACAAAAGAGGTGTGTAGAGCAGTGAGCACAAGCCAATGGAAGAATTGTAGAATTCTTCAGTTTATAGTTTTTACTTCTAACAGTGTCTTCCCATTCATAATTTCAAGCCTTAAGACTCAATAAGAAAGCAGTACCTTCACCTAGTAATATACATTTAATGAATTCTCCTTGGAATAAGGTTATTGTTCCAATTGTACATATCTCCTTACTGGCTGTTTCAGCAGGTGGAGACCAGACAACTCCAGACATTCTGGGAAGACACTAATTATTTCGCTCTATTTCAATCTGGCTTCAAGCCCAGATGTGACTCAGAAACAGCCCTGGTGTTAATTTGGTTGTCCTAATCTTGCCCAGAGAACCAGAATTCAGGGTGAAGTTGGCTGTGCACTTGGCTGGCCCTTGCAAGAACCCCTGAAAGTACTGGCTGAGTGCACTACACCCGTCCTTTACCTTCCCTCAAAATGAGGATGATCAAAGCCAGCCCTCTGACCAAAGTACTGAATCAAAAAGTTCCAGCTAGCACTTTGGTCACCGTTTCAGTGACAACAGGGGTGTAGTCCTGCCCCGATCTCATTCAGTCCATGGAGGAATGCAAGCTAGCCCCAGGAAACAACATGGTTCTCTACCCCACTCTAATGGATTAGTTATGTTGGAAGAAGGTACAGAGAACATGGCCATAATTTTCCTGAATCTCTCAGCATCCACTGACAACCATTTCTTTCCATTCTAAGTAGTTAGGACAGAAGGCGGCTCATCAGACCTGGGGAATGGAGGGTTTTCGAACTGTTCTAGGGAGGATTGTGCTCCTCCAAGAGAATCAGATTTGCACTTTGGGAGAACTTTGGAGCCATCTTTGGTTTTGAGAGCCCAACACATGTGTGGCATGAAGTGCCTTTTATCATCTGAGCCTGGTACACCACCTGTGAGCCATGCTGAATAGAAATTGCTTGGCTGCTGTGATCTGTCCCAGTTACACTACTACAGCATGCTGTCTACAGGTTACCTTGGAAATCTACTTAGAAACTTCAACTGACTGAAAATAAAGCCATTGTTTCTGAACTGCTGACAGGGACCAGATGGACCAAACATACTTTGCCAGCCTTAAAGCGCTTGCACTATTTATTTATTTTATTTAAAACATCTCTATGCCGCCCCCATCGCAACAAAGCCTCGGGGCAGCTCACAACAAAAACAAACAAAAGCATATAAAAATTTATACAATAAAAATATTAAAAACCCAGTGCATCTCGGCTTAATTTTTTTTAAAAAAAAACCTACGTAATAAATTAACAATTAAAATAAGTTTTAAATAAAAAGGTCTTAGCCTGGTGCCGAAAAACAAATAACGACTGTGCCAGGCGGACCTCTCTGGGGAGCACATTCCATAGGTGGGGCACCACCACAGAGAAAGCCCTCCTCCGGGTACTCACCCTCCTAATATCCTTCACAGAGGGTTCCCGGAGGAGGGCATCCGTTGCTGATCTCAAGGGGCGGGAGGGCATATATGGACACAAGCATTCCTTTAGATACCCAGGGCCCAAGCCGTTGAGGGCTTTATAGGTCATAACCAACACCTTGAATTGGGCCCGGACTTCAACAGGGAGCCAGTGGAGCTGACAGAGAACTGGGGTTATATGAGAAAAACGCCCAGTCCCCATCAGCAGCCTGGCAGCTCTATTCTGCACCAACTGAAGTATCCAGACCGTCTTCAAGGGTAGCCCCACCCTTGCGTTGCAGAAATCGTTGCGTTGCAGAAATCTAATCGGGAAGTTACCAACGTGTGTGTCACTGTCGCCAGGCAATCGTTCTCCAGGAAGGGACGCAGCTGATGAATCAGCCAAAGCTGAAGGAAAGCGCTCCTCGCCACCGCCGTCACCTGGGCTTCTAAAGACAGCTCAGGGTCGAGGAGCACTCCTAAGCTGCGAACCCTGTCCCTCAGAGGGAGTGCAACCCCATTTAGGACAAGGCCCAAGTCCCTCATCCCGAACCACCTACCAACAGGACCTCCATCTTGTCTGGATTGAGCTTCAGTTTATTGGCCCTCATCCAGCCCATTACCTCGGCCAGGCACCGGTTC